TCAGGAACAAGACAAGGATGCCCACACTTGCCACTTCTACCTAACAAAGAATTGGAAATCCTAGCCACATCTATCACACAAGAAAAAGAAATAAAAGGAATCCAAATCAGAAAGGAAGAAGTAAAATTGTCACTGTTTGCATATGACATGATACTGTAAACAGAAAATCCTAAAGACGCCACCAAAAAACTACTAGAACTCATCCATGATTCGGTAAAGTTACAGGACACAAAATTAATACACAGAAATCTGCTGCAGTTCTATATACTAACAACAAACTAACAGAAAGAGAAATTAAGAAAGCAATCCCATTTACAGTCACATCAAGGAGAATAAAATACCTATGAATAACTCTAGGTAAGGAAGTAAAAATCTCTACCTGGAAAACTATAAGACACTGATGAAAGAAATTGAAAACAAACAAAAAGAAGATGAAAAGGTATACCATATTCATGGACTCAAAGAATTAATGTCATTAAAACAACCACAATACCCAAGGCAATCTACAAATTCAATGCATTCCCTATCAAAATAACAATGGCATTTTTCACCATACTATAATAATTCTAAAATTTGTATGGAAACACAAAAGACCTCAGATTGCCAAAATGATCTTGAGAAATAACAAAGCAGGAGGTATCATGCTACCTGATTTCAAACTCTACCACAAAGCTACAGTCATCAAAACAGTATGGTACTGGCACCAAAACAGACACATAGATCAATGGAACAGAACAGAGAGCGCAGAACTAAGCCCATGCTTATATAATCAATTAACCTACAACAAAAGAGCAAGAAATACAGTGGGGAAAAGACAGCCTCTTTAATAAATGGTATTGGGAACACTGGACAGCTACATTCAAAAGAATCAAACTGGACTACTCTCTCACGCCATGCATAAAAATAAATTCAAAATGGATTGAAGACTTAAATGCAAGACCTGAAACCATAAAATTCCTAGGAGAAAACATAGGCAGTACACTATGTGACATCAGTGTTAGCAATATCTTTTTTGGATATGTTTCCTCAGGCAAGGGAAAAAAAAGCAAAATAAACAAATTGGACTATATCAAACTAAAAAACTTTTTCATAGAAAAGGAAACTATCAAAAAAATGAAAAGGCCACCTACTGAATGGGAGAAAATATTTGCAAATGATACATCCAAAAGGGGTTCATATCCACAATATACAAAGAAACAAAGAACTCATACGACTCAACATCAAAAAAAACCCAAACAAGCTCATTATAAAACAGGGCAGGGAAAAGGATCTGAAGAGAGATTTTTCCAAAGACATAAAGATGTCCAACCAGCACATGAAAAGATGCTCATCACCACTAATCAGGGAAAGGCAAATCAAAACCACAATGAGATACCACCTCCCATCTGTCAGAATGGCTGTTATCAAAAGATAAGAGATAACAAGTGTTGGTGAGGATGTGGAACAAAGGGAACCCTCATGCATTGTTGGTGGGATTAGCATTATTTACAATAGCTAAGATATGGAAGCAACATAAATGCCCATCAATTGATGAACAGATAAAGAATATGTGAGAAAGATAGATAGATAACAGCCATAAAAAAAATGAAATCTTTTCATCTGCAACAACACAGGTGGACCCAGAGGGTATTATGTTGAAATAAGTTGTACAGAGAAAGGCAAATACTGTATGATTTCACTTATATGTGAAATCTAAAAAACAAAACAAATGAACAGACACAACAAAACAGAAACAGAGTTATAGATAGAGTGAAAAAACAGGTGGTTGCCAGAGGGCAGAGAGGTGAGGGTAGGAAAGAAATAGGCAAAGGAGACTAAGAGGTACAAACTTCCAGTTGCAAAATAAATGAGTCACAGGTATGAAATGTACAGTGTGGGGAATATAGTCAATACCTATGTAATATATTTGTATGGTGACATACTGTAACTAGACTTATCACAGTGAACATTTCAAAATGTACAGAAATATCAAATCACTGGTGTGCAACAGGAACTAACATACTGTTTTAGGTCAATTATACTTCAAAACAAACAAACAAAGTCATAAAACAGAGATGAGATTTATGGTTATGGGGGTGCGGAAAATAAGGGAGGACGAGGAGTTGGATGAAGGCTGCCAAAAGGCACAAACTTCCAGTTGTAAGATAAACAGTACTAGGGATGTAACGTACAATGTGATATAATTCACACTGCTGTATGTTATTTATGAAAGTTGTTAAGACAGTAAATCTTAAGAGTTCTCATCACAAGGAAAATTTTTTTTCTATTTCTTTAATTTTGTATCTATATGAGACGATGGATGTAGACTTATTGTAATGTATGTAAGTCAAATCATTATGCTGTAGACCTTAAACTTATACAGTGCTGTATGACAATTATATCTCAAGAAAACTGGAAGAAAAAATAAAATACAATTAGATTCAAAAAATAAATACATTAAAAAAATTATACACAAAAGAATAATAAAGCTGGAGGAATCACACTACCCAAATCTAAGACTCACTATAAAGCTACAGTAAGCAAAACACTGGTGAATGGATAGACCACAAAAATCAATGAAACAGAAACAGTCCAGAAGTAGACCCACACAAATATGGTCAATTGATTTTTTTTATAAATGTGCAAGAGTAACTCAATAGAAAAAGGAGAGTCTTGGGAATTCCCTGGTGGTCCAGTGGTTAGGACTCCGCACTTTCACTGCCAAGAGCTCAGGTTCAATCCCTGGTCGAGGAACTTAGATCCCGTAAGCCGCTTGGTGCAGCCAAAAAAATAAATACATACATACACACATACATATATAAAGAAAAAGAGAGTCTTTTCAACAAATGGTATTATCAGTACCCTACATCAATCCAAAGTATTTAAATCTTAAATATCTCTCAAAGTAGTATCTCATTACTACCATCATCTCCCAGCCTAAGTTCTCTTCTCTGGCTCCTGTGATTGTCTGTCTATTCTGAACTGTTCTCTTAATATATTGTGTTCTCCGTACTGCAAACCAAATGAGCTCTTCAAATTGCAAATCTGACCAAGTCACTCCCTGCTGAAATTCTTTAGAGCTTCTCATTCCTCTTAGGATAAACATAAAATTCTGTTGATATGATTTTAAAAGGCCATGAATTAACAGGCTCCTACTACCTCTCTAGCCTCATTTTGCACCACACTCTTTCTTTCACTCCATGTTGTATTCACCATTCTCCTTCCTATCAAATGGCCTTTGCACATATTTTCTCTACCTGATAAGCACTTCCCTTCCTTCTCTGGATTTCAGTTCAATCTTTACTTTTTCAAAAAACGTCTCCTAAACTCTCTACATAGTTCAAATCCCTTTATTACACTGTAAACTAATCCTTTATTGCCCTTGACACCATTGTATTATTACCTTTGAATGGCTGCTTGTATTTAAGTATGATTATTTCATGACTAGCTCCATGAAAACAGGATGTGCATCCATTTGCTCCCCAGTGCATCCCCAGAGTATACCATAAAAGGAACTCAACAAATGTTTGTTAAATGAATAAATGTATCTTATTCATCCTTCACAACCACCCTATGAGATATGTACAATTATTTCCCCCATTTCATAAAATGGAAAAACCAAGGCATCAAGAATTTAGGTAAATTGCTCTAGGTCATACAGCTAAGAAGTAAAAAGCTGGATACCATCAAAGCATTATGGTTCTAAGGACCAAGATATTAATTATGCTCTAACGGCTATTCAAATAAAACAAAACCTAAACCAATCCTTGTCCATGAAGGAGTGTAAAAATAATACTTTAGTATTAATTCATTCAACAAATATTTATAAAGTGCTTACAAAGTGTCAGTTACTGTGCTAAGTACTGAGGTTACAGGGCAAACAGGACAAAGGTTCTTAGCCCTTATTGGAGCATTCCACTATTTATTTATTGACCACCTACTATGTGCCAACTACTGTGCTAAGTAAAGGAGACTCTAAAGGGTGAATAAAGCTTTAAATAATTATACCAAAAATAAATTAAATTTCATTTGTGATAAGTGCTATAAAGGAAAAATTCAGGGTGCTAGAGGAACAAGCTATACAGAGACCTAAACTAGCTAGGAATGTCAAGAGAGATTTCTAAAGAATTGATATTTAAGCTGAGACCTGAAGTATAAGTTTACATTATCAAATTTGAAAGAAATGTAAATATTATTATTTGCAAGAATTTGTGCAAAAGCAATTCACTGAAGAAAGGATAAGCATTTGGAAATAGTGCTTCCCAAGAGATGGAAGAATTAGGAGTTGCAAAATCAGGTAGAGATGTGATTGGTTAAACCCAAAATCAAAGACCTGTAATGATAAACAATATTGTCTTTTATAAGCAAAGGTTGGCAAACTACAGCCTCTGAGACAAAATCAGCCCACAACCTTCTTTTGTAGGCCCTTGAACTAAGAATGGTTCTTACATTTTTATAAGATTGTTAAAAATAAAAGAAAAAAAATGGAAGGGGAGGAGAAAATTAACATTCTGTATATAGCCACAAAGCCTAAAATATTTACTATCTAGTCCTTTACAAAAAAAGTTTACCAACCCATGCTCTACACACTATAATCAAGTAAAACATAATGAAGCCTATCCTAACAAATTCATTAAATATGATTCTATTTGAATACTAAACGTAGGTACTGAATAGATATCATACATATCTTTCTCAAAATTGCAGCTTTGTGGCTCAAAGTTATCAAACGCACACCAAATTTACAATCAGCTACAGAATAGGCATATTTGATCTCACTTAAATGTACTGTCAACACATGCTTAAGTAATATAAACACCTACACCGACAGTTATCAAAATATACCATAAAAATTGATAGAGATAAGAAATGTGGCTCCACTAAAACTAAATGTAGTTTTTTTTATATTTTAGTTGAAAAACTACCATAAGACATCTATAGGATGAGAGTCTAAGTCACTGGATTTAATACTATTTTGAAAAATAATTGCTACATATTAATAAGAGAAATCATATACTTACCAAGATTTTTTTCAATTCTTCAAGTTCTACTTCTTTGTTATTTTTAAGCTTAGTCATCTCTTCTAAAAAATCAAAAGAATATAAATGCGTTAAAAGCTGGATTTAAAAAAATGGGAAAGGAGAGACAATAAAACAAAAAAAAGATTCCATTTTTAAAAGACATTCTTTCATAGCTGTACCATTCAAATAGCCTCCAACCTGATTTCTCCACTTCTATTCCTCACTACCAACACTCCCCACCCAACATCAAATTTACCTTCCATACAGAAGTGACAATGATCCTTTAAAAACGTAAACAAGATCATGTCATTCCTCTAATTAAAATCTTTCAGTGGTGTTCCTTTGCCAGCAGAATAAAATCAAAATTCCTTTCCTTGGCCCTACCTGATTTGGTCCTTATTACCCCATACTCACTTCATTCCCCTTTCCATATTTCTTCTTACACTTAGTCACAAAGGTTTTCATTCACTCACATGTATTAACCAAGCTCCTTCACACCTCAGGGCATTTCTACATGCTTTTCCTCCTGAATGAAAAGCTCTCTCCAACTCACATGCTTTCCCTTAACTAAATCTCACTTATTTAGGTCTCAGTTTAAGGCCATCCTTGATCACCAAATCTAGATTAGGCCTTATTATTTTCTTATATTTTGTCATTTTCATTCATTTCATTCCTTCGTAGCACTTATCCCAATTTGTAATTAAATATTTATTTGTAATTATTCATTTTATGTGTCTCCGAGTGCAAAATCTCATGAGAACAAAGACCATGTCTGTTATGTTCCTAATGAATATCCAAAGCTAAATGAGAAACATCTAAGTTCTATAGTTATTGTGTATCTAATAACCAAAGAAGAAGCAATAGAAAAAACTAGAGGGAGAATCTATTATACAACCAGAGTGAAAATAAATGTGGGCACAGAGATAGAAAACTGACCACAGGAGTAAAACCTGTTTAGAGCTATATTAGACTGAACTGAAGATGGGAGACACATGAAGAAGCAAAGAAAACTGTACCAAGTAAAGAAACACACAAAAATTATTTGACAAAGATTCTGAATTTACAGTTGTCTTTAACTTACTTGTTATGCACTACCTCATTCTTTAAATGAACAATGAAGAAACAAAGAGTTTGAACTTAGGCAATTAGATGGCTCTTAAATCTGCAACACAGAATAGTCAGATTTGTATTTTTAAAGGAACACTCTAGCATAAATGCAGAGAATGAACAAAAGGTAGACAAGACTGGAAACAAAAAGATTGATTCTAAAGATACTGCAATTAGTTCTGGTCAGAGATGTCTGGTTCCAAGCTAATGTCAAGATATAAGGGGTAGAGTAGGCTGTATCTGAGGAGTGCACAGAATAACACTGGTCTTAGGATAGGTCAATGATTGTAACTCCTGAGGGGACAGTGGAGGCATACACTAATCAAGATGTAATCCTACGAAAATATCATTAAGGAAGAATGCAAAGTGTAGCCAGGAAATAATGCAGTAAGAATGAGGGCTACTGCAGTAAGAAAGAAGGTTATGAATAAAGGCCAAAGCAAATAGAAGCCTAGTAAACACAAAAAGAGATGAACAAAGATGAGGACAAATGAGGGTAATATGAAGCATGGTTTATGATAATGTCCCAGACACAATTTGTGTTCCATTATGTTACTCACATGCATCCCTCTCCTAGGCTAAGAGAATGTGCTTGAAACTCTAAAAACCAGGAAAGAGGAAATGAGGACTTGAACTGTTCTAGGTCTGTGGAGACGAAGAAAAGGGGGAAGATTCAGAAGATATTTAAGAGTTAAAAACTCTTAAATTAGTTAGATTTTAAGAGCTAGATATTAAGAGTTAGAAGCAACAGCATTAGATAACCAATTAGAAGTGAAAGGTAAGGGAGAAAGATTTTTTGGTTTTGAGAACTATACTATCAATCAAAGAAGGAAATAAACTAATGTTGAGTACTTACATCATTGTTAATGATACTCTCCTAAACATAATACTTTGCACACTCCATCATTCTCTACAACTATCCAAATCCTCTCTGTATCTTAAACTCTACTTTGTTTTTTAAATCTACCTATTCTATAAAGTCTTTTCCAACTCTGCAGTCCACATTGATACCTTTGGCTTCCTCTTGTTAACAGCATTAACACATTTCCATCAATAAGAAATCTGTGAGCATTCACTCCAAATATATAAATATTTATACAATACAAATACATATTTATATTTTATAAATTTATATAAAATACATATATTATATTATTCATTATAAAACATATATACAGCATTAAAAATAAATAGAAATAGAAGTTCTAATACTTCCTTCCCTAATCTTAAATAGAAGTCTCTCTCACTCCTTTAATTTTTGAAACATGGTTCTAATGATTTTATGAATTCAAACTTTCTCCTACAATAATTAGAGATTTCTCAAGAACATGGTATTTCACTTCTTGTATATGTTTCCACCTAAGATAGTGCTAAGAAACACACATAGAACTATTTCACAGTTCTGGAATTCGTTATCCAAACTTCTCATAATATATTGCTCTACTAAGAGAAAAATCACATTATGCATTCGATCTTTCAATATGACAATAACAGCCACTTATATTCAATATCAGATTTAATTATTCCATAGTCTACAACATTCAATTGACCAATTCTAAAGAACATAGGTATATGCAGTGATTTAAGACAGTATGTTATGCTCTAAAGGAAGATTTAAAAAATGGGTGAAATATGCATTCACAATCATTCTAATGTAAAATAATACTAAAAACATTATTTACCATTGGATAGTACAATTTTGGATGTTCAAAACAGTCTAGTCTGTAATGGAAAAGTAAGCTTTGCAAAAGGAAAAGCATAAATTGGGTTTCAAAGTTCAACCAAACATCCTAACAGGCACTACTGCTTACAATTATTTTAATTATATAAGTATTCAAAGTTAATAATAAAGATTATAGAAAGTTATAGAGATTTCCAGAAAAATGCCTGCCAGTCCATGAATTATCTTAATTTATAAAATAATTCTTTTCACCAAAATTGGAAAAAAATGTTTATATATATTTATAAATCTCCACAATTATAAATATGAGGCTTTATAAATATGAAGCATAGACTTATTAATATTAGCTAACTAAATGGTCATAAATTCACAAAATAACTACAAACTTCTCTTTCTTTTAGCCATGAAAGTTGAGTATTAACAACACCACATGATAAAATAGGGTCACATTTTCCTGAAAATAGTTCATAATCCAACATGGCCAATAAATGAAATTTCAAAATTCAATCAAAATATAAGACATTTCCCACTAAGAATTATTATTACAGCCTCTGAATCCTAAATTAAGAAAAAAAAGACTACAGGAGGAAGACAGCAGCAGCGTGGGCAGCAGCTTCAGGCCATGCTCCAGAGTTCCAGCCTACCCTACACATTTCAGACTTGCCTAGCCAGCCGCTAAAACCTTGAGAATGCATCAAGCGCACGTTTATAACACTCTATGGAAGGAATCTTCTCTTCCCATATGCAGAGCCTAAAAAGCCACGGCAACTGTCTAGAAGGAGAACAAGGGGTAAAAGGCAGTTTCAGGCACAAGCCTCTTAGATATCCTCATCCACCAGTGGGCAGATAGCAGAAGCAAGAAGAACTACAATCCTGCACCCTGTGGAATAAAAACCACATTCACAGAAAGATAAACAAAATGCAAAGGCAGAGGGCTATGTACCAGATGAAGAAACAAGATAAAACCCCAGAAAAACAACTAAATGAAGAGGAGATAGGCAACCTTCCAGAAAAAGAATTCAGAATAATGATAGTGAAGATGATCCAGGAACTCAGAAAAAGAATGGAGGCAAAGATTGAGAAGATGCAAGAAATATTTAACAAAGACCTAAAAGAATTAAAGAACAAACAGAGATGAACAGTACAATAACTGAAATGAAAACTACACTAAGGCAAGGCCCAGTGACATTTCACATGGCGTAGGAGGAAAAACCTTGGACAGGCAATGGACTGAAAGAACATGACTACGGAAGCACCCAGCTCCAAAAGTCCCAGCCTGCCACTATAGAATGGCCATGTGGATAAAAGGCTATGGGCGCTGCAGCCAGGGGTCACTGCTATGCCTCTTAGGTGGGAGAGCCAACTTCAGGACACTGGTCCACAGGAGACCTCCCAGCTCCATGTAATATCAAACGGTGAAAATCTCCCAGAGACCTCCATCTCAACACCAACACCCAGCTACACTCAACGACCAGAAACCTACAGTGCTGGAAAACCTATGCCAAACAACTAGCAAAACAGGAACACAACCCCACCGATTAGCAGAGAGGCTGCCTAAAATCATAATAAGGCTACAGACACCCCAAAACACACCACCAGACGTGGACCTGCCCACCAGAAAGACAAGATCAGGCTCATCCACCAGAACACAGGCATTAGTCCCCTCCACCAGGAAGCCTACACAACCCACTGAACCAACTTTAGCCACTGGGGATATACACCAAAAACAATGAGAACTACGAACCTGCAGCCTGCAAAAAGGAGACCCCAAACACAGTTAGTTAAGCAAAATAAGAAGACAGAAAAACACACAGCAGATGAAGGAGCAAGATAAAAACCCACCAGACCTAACAAATGAAGAGGAAATAGGCAGTCTACCTGAAAAAGAATTCAGAATAATGATAGTAAAGATGATCCAAGATCTTGGAAATACAATAGAGAAAATGCAAGAAACATTTAACAAGGACCTAGAAGAACTAAAGAGGAAACAAGCAATGATGAACAACACAATAAATGAAATTAAAAAGACTCTAGATGGGATCAATAGCAGAATAACTGAGGCAGAAGAATGGATAAGTGACCTGGAAGATAAAATAGTGGAAATAACTACTGCAGAGCAGAATAAAGAAAAAAGAATGAAAAGAACTGAGGACAGTCTCAGAGACCTCTGGGACAACATTAAACAGACCAACATTCGAATTATAGGGGTTCCAGAAGAAGAAGAGAAAAAGAAAGGGACTGAGAAAATATTTG